CTAAAAAAAAGGGGCGGCTGGGGGTGTGGCTCAGTGGTTAAGTATGTGCCCCTGGGTACTTAACCACTGGTACCAAAAAAACAAAAACAAAAACAAACAAACAAAAACCAACTCTTTCAGATCAACAAGAAAAAGATAACCAATAGAAAATGGACAAAGCATGTAAGCTATTCATAGGAAAGGAAGTTTGAATGGTGAAAAACCAAGAAAAAAAAAAAAAGGCTTAAGTTTTCATTTCCCATCTATGTTGATCTTACAGCTCCTCCTTTTTGGTTTCTCATAATACCCTGTTTTTCTGTCACTCTCACTCTGAGGAAGTTTGTTATAGTTGATATGAAGTGTTTGTCTTCTGACTGTCTCTCTTTCCTCTATCTTGATTTTTACATGTAATTCTGTTTTTTTGCTCATGTCTTCCTCAAATATCTGGTGGTCCTTAATGGAAGACTCACACTTAAGAAAGAGCCACCAACAGATTGATGGGCTGCTCTAGCACCTGGGCAGAAACCTAGTGGCCCTCACATTAATGGGATTAAGAAAGAACCTGGTTATTTTTTCTAAGAATTACATCCAAATGTCAATTTTTGAAGGTATTTTCTCTTTTCTTTTCTTTTTTTTGGACTGGGTCTTGCTAAGTTGCCCAGGCAGGATCCTTCCTGCCTCAATTTCCTGAGTCACTGGGATTTACAAGCATGTCCCCCACTGCACCCAGCTCCTCTAGGTATTTTTCCTAGGTGAGCTCAGTTCCTCAGAGGTTCAGAATAAGAAGGGGGAAAGATGGATTGCCAACCTTCTGGAAACCAGATGGAAAGGGGTCTGCAGAAGGCTTCACTGCCTGGCTCACCTTTACTAAGTTCCCTGTTTTCAGTTTGGAGCCTTATTCTGTCTTTCTGCTGGGCTTGGTGTCCCCAAAGCCAGACTGTCTGGTTTGTCCTTTCCCACCCACTTCTCCCATGTGACTAGGTGGGGTGAGGGGAGTGATGCCTGGTCATCCAGTGTGGGGGAGGGTGACTAGCTCTGCAGGCATCTTGATTCCTTCAAGATTTTAAGTCCATCTTCCTATTGCGACACTGCACTCCTCTATCAAAGGAAATGGGGCCTTGACTTCTGTGCCTTCGCCCAGTTCTGCCTTTAGAATGGACTTGATTTTCTTTTATCTTTTTTTTTTTTTTTTGGTGGTGCTGGAGATCAACCCAGGGCCTCATGCATACCAGGCAAGAGCTCTACCTCTGAGCTGCAACCCCAGCCCCAAAGCCCCAGTCAGCCTGCTTCTTGTTGCCTAGCAACCACTCTCCCCACTCAGGTTTTGTTTTCTCCAGTGGAGAAGTTGGTTAATACTTTTCTCTCACTCTGAACTCTTCCATCTAAAAGTTGTCCTTTCTTGTCTGATGTTGATCTCTTCTTCTGTTCTCTTTGTCCCTGTAGGTCTGTGCCTTTTTTTTTTTACATCCTTACTATCCCCTTTAGGGAGGTTTGAGGCAGGATCTCACTGAGTTGCTTAGCACCTTGCCATTGCTGAGGCTGGCTTTGAACTCAACATCCTCCTGCCTCAGCCTCCCAAGCCTCTGGGATTACAGACCGTGCCTGACAATTATTTTGAGACAGGGTCTTGCTAAGTTGCTGAGGCTGGCCTGAAACTTGTGATCTTCCTGTTTCAGCCTCCCAACTGGCTGGGATTAGAGGCCTGTACCATCACACCTGGTTCTATATTATCCTTTATTTCTCCTTGTCTTTTTCCTAAAACTGATTTGTCTGGGAATTGTTGTGCAGATCTGATCTCTCTCCTTGACTTCTATCATTGCCCCATTCTCTCAAGGTAGGAAAATGTAAAAAACACGTGGGTTGCCAAACAAAAATGCAATTTGAAATATTGGAAATACCGCTTTTGAAAGTGAATGAGTCTAATGATTGAGTAATGAGCCCTGTTAGCAAGTCAAGTGGTTTCCAGATTCTTTGCTTTCGAAGATGTTGTAGGAGAATCTAATTGAGTTGTCAGCTTAAATATGATTAAAAATAATTTTAATGATAGCTCACAATGTGATTCTTGACATATACTTCAGAAGGAGTTCAAAGAAGGGAGTGTCATTGATAGAATAAAAATCTTTCCGTTGCCAGTTTTTTACGTGAGCAAGGACTCAGCCCTTATAGTAATAAAAAAGAAAAAATCCAGAGAATTGATACTAAATGCCATGTCATTGAGCAATACAATCAAATGACACACAAACTACTTGAAACTGACTACAAATGTATTTCTGATAAAATTTTGTATTTATGTTGGATAATTATTTATAAACCATTATAGTATTCTTGATTTTGATCAATTTGTGCTACTAATGATTCCATACAGAAGAAATTTGTTTGGGGGCTGGGGATGTGGCTCAAGCAGTAGCGCGCTCGCCTGGCATGTGTGTGGCCTGGGTTCGATCCTCAGCACCACATACAAACATAGATGTTGTGTCTGCCAAAAACTAAAAAATATATATTAAAAAATTCTCTCTCTAAAAAAAAAAAAAGAAATTTGTTTGGTACTGGGGACTGAACACAAGGATGCTTGCACACTAAGCACATGATCTGCTACTGATCTAGCTATACCCTTAGCCCAGAAGAAAAATTAAGCACTTAGAGTGTTACAGTTAAAAAAAAATTAAAGTGCTAATTATTTATTTATGTTTTGGTATCAAGCATTGAACTTAGGGGTGCTTACTCACTAAACATATCCCCAGCCTTTTTTATGTTTTATTTTGAGACAGGGTATCCCTAAATTGCTTAGGGCCTTGCTAAATAGCTGACGCTAGTTTTGAACTTGCAATCCTCAAGAGAGAGAGGGAGCAAGAGAGAGGGGGGCCTGGCAGGAGGGAGTTTTTATAGCCCAAATCTAATGGGGCCTCTGAGTCTGCAAGCTGCCTTGTTGGCCCAAGGGGGGGTTAAGTGTTCAGCCTTAAGCAGGGTTGAATGTTCAGACTTGAGGCAAACAGGTGATAAAGGACCAGATAGAGGGGGGTTTGAGTGCGTGGGCTATCTTGCAGCCAACATCTGTTCAGCCTGCCCTGCAGACAACACAGTTCAGCCTGCTCTGCACCCAACACCTATCTTAAAATAAAAAATAAATAGGGCTGGGGATGTAACTCAGTGGTAAAAAGTCCCTGGGTTCAATCCCCAGTATAGAAAAAAAGAAAAGAAATACACCTAACTTATCAAATGCCGTAGCTTAGCAACACAGTATACTATAGAGTACTTATTATCCTTGTGTATTACCCTTGTGATTATATGGGTGACTGGGCCCTGAGGCTCTCTGCCACTGTACAGCATTGCAAAGAATACCACATATCACCAACTAGGGAAAAGATCAAGATTGAGATTTTAAGGTGTAGCTTCTACTGAGTGTGTATCAGTTTTGTACCATTGTAAAGGAAAACATTGTAAGTCTAACCATAAGTCAGAAACTGTCAGTATACATAAACCTAGGTATAACAAGCATGACTCTTGAAGTTACACTAGCAAGTAGATAGGTGACCAAAGCTTGAGTTACATGTAGTTTCTAAAAACTTTTGAAAAAATGTCAGATTTCTGTAAACAATTTAACTTTTAATATCTATTAATTATGATTTGCAATTTTGTACTTCAATTTTTATTTTTTGTGGTACTGGGAATGAAATCCAGGGCCTGAGCAGGTACTTTACCACTGAGCTACATCCCCAGCCCTTTTTATTTTTTATTTGGAGACAGAGTCCCACTAAATTGCTGAGGCTGGCCATGAATTTGCAATCCTTCTGCCTCAGCCTCCCCAGTAACTGGGATTACAGGTGTGTGCCATCATGCCTGGCTACAAATTATGCAACGTTTGATCACAGTTGCATTTAACTTTTTAATTTAGTTCATTACCATCAACTGAACACAGATTATGTGAAAATCTTGATTATAGCAACATAATTAGTAACTTCACTGAAATGAAGACAAGAAAAACAAATGTGTAGTGTGTATGTGTGTGTGTGTGTGTGTGTATTTATAAATAATGTGCTTCTGTTTTATTACTCATTCAACCATATCTGGTCTACCCTCAGAATTCCTAAATACATGCAATAATAAAAAAGAATGTGGTCATTTTAATATTTTTCTAATTGTGTACCTGTGAGGGGCAAAGAACCAATTTTTTTCTCCCCCTACTCCAGCTCTCTTCTGGTACCAGATTTTTATGGGGTCCCTCCCCCCACCACACACACACACACCAAGAAATTCTCCAATAGACATCTACTGGGTGGTTTTGTTTTTGTTTTTGGCACTAGGGATAGAACCCAGAGGCCCTTAATCATTGAGCCACATCCCCAGTCCTTTTTTATTTTTTATTTTGAGACAGGGTTTCAGTAAATTGCTTAGGGCCTCACTAAATTGCTGAGGCTGGCTTTGAATTTGTGATCCTCCAGCCTCAGCTGGGATTACAGGCGTGCGCGACGGTGCCCAGCTATTGGGAATCTTTAATTAAATTCTGACACTAACTACCTGGAGTTAGATCCTATAGGGTGTGGGCTCAGTCCCACAAGACTGCTCTCTACCTATAGTATCAATAGAAAATAGTGGAGTACCACCTATACTTCTGACCCACTAGTTACAAACCCGGGTTCCCACAATTCTCTCCTTGGGTTCAATTAATTTGCTGGAGCTCACAGGACTAAGGACACCCGTTTCTTGGTTACAAAGGTTATTTCAATACAGAGATATAGCCACATGAAAAGTGCACAGGGCAAGATCTGGAAAGGAGCAGGGAAAGGGACAGGGAGATTCTGTCCCTGTGAAGTTGGGATGGATCGTTCTCCATCCGGAAAACTCATCAAATCTTGTCTCAGGAGTTTTTAATGGAGCTTAATCTCCAGTCCGCCTCCCTTCCCTGAAGTTGGTGGATGGGACTGAAACCTTGGTCTTTCCGGAGACCAGACTCCACAGGCTAACTAGGGGTCCCACTAAGTCACCCCACTAGCATAAGCTCTGGTGCCCCAATGACAACTTACTTCCTCCAGGTTTTCTTCACCAGCTACCGCTCAGAGCACAGCGCTCCGCAGGCAAAATCTCGGTCCTCCTTAGAGTTTCCCCAATAATAGAGTTCCAGACACACGCCCTCGCCCCGCTGACCAATCACGCTCTTTCTTATTTCATGAACTTCTCTTGGGCTCAGGCAGTCCAGTTATAATCCTCCCGGGGCATCGCAGGTAACAGGAATTAGGGAGTCCTCACGCTTTTAAAAAGTCCCACCCTCAGCCACCCACAGAACCCGGAAGCACTACGCCTGCGCGAACTGGGACACCGCCCCCGCCCCCTGCCGAGCCCTCCCCGCCTTCCCTACCCAGTGGCTTAGCCGAGACCACCTAACGCGTCCGCTACCCACCAGAAAGCCGGAAGTGGCTATAGCTGCCTGATTGACCGCGGCTCACACTAGGTCATCTTGCTCACTGTAGGGGCCCAAGACTGACCCTTGAGCCTAGACTCAAAATGATGGACAGTTGCAGTTTATGTCTCTAGGTTGGTCCCTCCGTTTTCAAATCACTGGATTATACTATGGTAAAGCTGATCAGAGTTGAGAAATCATTTACTGTAGGCCTGTCACATCACCTGGATGATTGAATAATTGCTCCCAAGATTCAGAGACCCTTTTCTCCTTTCTCTCCGGTGTTGGAATTAGGGTCAAGAACGGCAGGTGCAGGACTTGCCACAGCCGCGTCCCTTAATCTTGGCAGTGCTGAGCCAAGGCTTCCATCCCAGGCCCACTTATCCAGCCAGCTGTCAGACCATGGGTGAGAATGGCACAGGAGGAAGGCAAGGTGGACGAGGGAGATGTGTTCCTGGCATTTGCCCAAGGTCCCTCTCCTCCCAGGAGTCCCCTGCAACGTGCTTTGGACACGGCCTTCCTTATTTTCCTGATTCTGTTCTTGACACTGCTGATGTTGGAGGCTGCTTATAAGCTGCTGTGGATTCTACCATGCGCAAAACTGGGGGACTGGCTCCTAGGGACACCTCAGAAAGAGGAGGAGCTGGAATTGTGACCACCATTCCTATAAACTTCCTCTTTCCTTGCCACAGAGGTGAGAGGGGAGACAGGAGGGAAATGGGACTGTTGGGGCCTGTGGTGGGGATACTGGACAGCTTATGTCAGCAGTCTAAAATTTCTGCACCTACAGTCTGGGTAACAATTTGTTTAAAGTATATGCTCCCTAACATATTTTGTAAAACTTTTAAATTGACACAAAATTATTGTACATATTCATAAGGAACACTGTTATTTTGACCCATGTTTATGATGTGCAGTGATCAAATCAGAGTAATTATCACATCCATCACTTCAAATATTTATCATTTGTGTTGGGAACATTCAAAGTCCTGTCTTCCAGCTATTTTGAAATATACAATAAATTATTAACTATTGTCATCTTATTATGCTATAGAACACTAGAACTTAATAATCCTTTTTTTAAACTCTCTATCCCCCTATACCCTTCCCAGCCTCTGATAACCACTATTCTACTCTCTACTTCTATAAGATCAACTTTTTAAGCTTCCACATATGAAAACATGTAATATTTGTTCATTACTTATTTCATAACATAGTGTCCTCCAGTTTCATTCATGTTGCCTTTTTATGGCTGATCTCTCTCTCTCTCTCTCTCTCTCTCTCTCTCTCTCTCTCTCTATATATATATATATATATATATATGGATATATACATGGTATTTTGGTATTTTCTTCACCCATTGATCCATTATTCATGGACACCAATGTTGATTCTGTATCTTTAATTTTTTTTTTAGTTGTAGTTGGACAATACCTTTATTTTTGTTTACTTTTATATGGTGCTGAGGATCAAACCCAGCGCCTCACACATGCTAGGTGAGCACTCTACTGCTGAGCTACAACCCCAGCCCTGATTCTGTATTTTGATTTTTGTATATCCTGAATATTAATCCCTTGATGAATGATAGTTTGCAAATATTTTCTGCTGTTCTGCAGGCTGTCTGTCCACTCTGTTGGATGTTCCCTTTGCTGTGCTGGAACCTTCATATATTTCAAAGTAAGCATCTAAAATTTTTCATTATCAATTAAAATTGTTTCAAGGATGTAGTTCCTGGTATGTTGAAAACATTCATGTTTTAAGATAAGAAAAATTGCTTTTTTGAAAGTCCAGGGGATTTAAAATACCACAGCATCTTGGTACCTACCACCACCCATTTAAAATAATCACTTATGAACTGGGACACATTCTTTTTTTTTGGGGGGGGGGTGCTGGGGATTGAACCCAGGGCCTTGTGCATGCAAGCAGCCATCCAATTGAGCTACATCCCCAGCCTGGAACACATCCCTTTCTTTCATCAATTTTTCTTCTTGAACTTTTATTACCATTTCACTTCTTGACAACTGTTTTTTTTTTTTTTTTTTTTGAGGGGGGTGGTACTGGGGAATGAACTCAGGTGCACTCGACCACTCTGAGCCACATCCCCAGACCTATTTTTTTTTTTAGATACAAGGTCTCACCGAGATGCTGAGCACCTTGCTTTTGCTGAGGCTGGTTTTGTACTCAAGATCCTCCTGCCTCAGCCTCCCAAGCCACTGGGATTATATGAGTACACCACAGTGCCCGGCTTGGCCAGGACGTCTTTTTTTTTTTTTTAAGAGAGAGAGAGAGAGAGTTTTTAATATTTATTTTTTAGTTTTCGGCAGACACAACATCTTTATTTGTATGTGGTGCTGAGGATCGAACCCAGCGCAGCTTGCATGCCAGGGGATCGCGCTACTACTTGAGCCACATCCCCAGGCCGTCTGTTTTTATACTAGAAAGTTTTTTTGTTTTGTGCTGGGGATTGAACCAATGGCCTTGCACATGCGAAGTGGGGACTCTAAGCCATATCCTAGCCCCTAGCCCTGTAGTTTTTATACTGACCAATCATATCTCCCTGTATATACATATATATTAATTGAGAAGAAAACTCTTTGTTATGATTGTAGGACTCCAGTTAAAAAATTTTGGGTTATCATTACACTTATTAAAAAATAATCCGCAGGGCTCAGTGGTCTACCCCTGTAATCCTAGAGGCTCTTGAGGCTGAGGCAGGAGGATCCTGAGTTCAAGGTCAGCCTCAGCAATTTAGTGAGGCCCTAAACAACTCAATGAGACCTTGTCTCTAAATATATAAAAGGGCCGGAGATGTGGCTCCTTGATTAAACGACCCTGGGTTCAATCCCGGATTAAAAAAAAAAAAATCTATTAAATCGCATAAAAATATGCAAATTTTTAAATTAAAGCGAAATTTTAATAAATTAGAAGAGGTGGTGTTCACAGAGCTTTGATGAAAGAAATGGGCTACATGCTTCTATATTTAAGAGGTAAGATTGCCCCAGGGGATTTCATAGTTGAGAACTACCTCTTTTTTTTTTTTTTTTCTTTTTAAGAGGAAGAAGGTCCATCAGGAAAAGGAAGGGGAAAGGGGGAATCTAAAGTCCGCGTCTATTTAGGAAGACCAGTTTCAGGAAAATCGAGGATCTGGAAATTAAATTCTTTATATCTCAAGTCTCAACTTTTTGGAAGGTTTTCCTGTTCCCCAATTTGAAGGCTGTAGGTTTAGACAATGTAGAGAAGCGATGTGGGATTCTTCAATTGAAGGGTGACTTTGAGGTTCTGGGAGTCTTGAGAGTAAGGTCTGCGGTCCTGGATTTTGGCAAGGTGCCCACCACTTGTGGAATGCGGAAGAATGAACAAGTGGGGCTCTCAGTAACTGGGACCATATTAACCTTTCTGGTTTCTTCATCTCTCACCTCTCGACCCAGCCTTGCCTCCAGGAACCTTCAACCTCCCTAAATTGGGCGAGGCGGGCATCACACCCGATTTCTTCCCTCTTCGTTCTTTACTCGACTCTCAAGAAGAGGAGACGAGACCTGCGGTATTTTATGAGCCTCATTCCGTCTCCCAGCTCTCCTGGCGGCAATCTGAGTTCTTCTCAAAGTCCCAGCGCCTTCATCACCCGCCCTCCGGGCTCTGGACCTCCACGACAAAGCAGGGTCTTGGTCTTCACCGCCGGCCCTTCTTGTCCTTCAGAGAAGAGCCACTCGGGCCCCATCAGCTTGGTTGGTCTGTAGTTCTCTAGTGGAGCTTGAACAACAAATCGGCAATAGCAATAATAAGCACAACCCATCTGTGTAGCGCGTTGTGCTCATTTGTATGTATGTGTTATGATTTCTCGATCAGAGACCCAGCCTCCGGCAGTGGAGGTAGCTGCTGGACAGCGGCAAGGAGCGCGCTGCCTTTGCAGTGAAGGGGCGAGCGCAGTCGATTAAGCCGTGGAAACGGGTACCTCCGAGATGGGAAAGCGGGGCCGGAAGGCGTGCCAACAGCCCAGCGAAAGGAAAAGATTTTATTTCCCACTTCAGACACTCCAGCCTTTTCAGGAAACGCTGCACAGCCTTAGAGAGCCCAATGCTTTATCCACCCTGCACCGCCCTCTTCCCCTCCGTGGAAAGGTGGTTTAATCCTCCCTGCACGCGACTCGCGGGCGATTGGGCCCGAGACCAGGAAGTTTCTGATTGGTCAAGTCGTAGAAGCACCGGATGAAAAGAGCTCCAAGGCTGCAGGCCCGAGTCCCCTAGAAGCCAGTGCCGTACGGCAAAATGGTGGTTCCCAGGTACTTTGGGACGCCTTGCCGGGACAAGCCCCGCCCCTTACAGGTTAAAGGGAAGAGAATCTTAGAGTATGTGGGCGGGCCTACAGCCACTTCCGGCCACTGGAAGCCTGAGTTCCGTACAATATGGCCGCGCTTGGTTGCATGTAGGCGGAAACTCTGCGACTTCCGGTCCGGAGTGGGGCCTGCGGTGGGAGGGGGAAGAAAGGCGCAGGGAACCATGCGAGGTTCTGAGATCAGCGGCGAGGGTCGCCTGGAGAGACCGTTTTTGAGGTGGGGGCCTGACCATGCGGGGAGTTAAGGCGGGGGCGGGGATATAGAGGAAGAGGTATTGGGGAAACCTGGGTACTGAGTCTGAGGGGCAAGCTATAGTACCTTCCCGTCCCTGAAGGGGAGTGGGGCGGCCGGGGCCCGAACTGGGGGAGGGGGTACTTGGCGGGAAGCTCATACACCGACCCGGCCTGACTCAGGGTTGGAGTCCCAGAGGAATCAGGAGAGCCTGGAGGCGGGGTGCTCACAGTCGGTTACTAGTCACTGAGAGAATGGGGAAAATTAGGGTGGGGTGGGAGGGAGGGTACTTGTTGAAAAATCTCCAACCTAAAGGTTCTTCAGAACCTGAGAGGAACCTATTAGAAGGTGAAATATGAAGATAATTAATGGAGGGGAAAGGAGAATGGGTTGTTGGGAGGGACCTCTTTCACTCAGTCTAGAAGTTGGGGTGATCATTCGGGATGGGGTGTGGGTTTGGCGTGTTTGAGGGTGAGGGGTAAACACGTGAGATGGCATTGACAGGAGGGGTGTGTTCCCTGTGGAAGCGGGTTTCAGGGAAACTTGGGATGCAGTGTAGGAGGTGGTACTAGAATTTAGAGTAAGAATTGCCAACTATGAAAAAGTGGGGAAATGGAACTGAAAGACCGGAAATTGACATGAGGGGTGGAGCTGGGGGTGGGGCCTTAAGGTTTCGAGGAGGTTTGCCCTCTCACATGTAAAGTTGCTGAAGATAGTCAGTGAGGACACTTTTGGCAGAGCTAGGAGGTACTGAAATGTAAGGTGATTGGAATATGTGTGAGCTGAAGGGATGGGGCTGTCTATGCTGGAGGGGCTCTTTCTGAGGCCCCATCCCCTTCCAGCAGGAATTCCGAAATCCCCAACACTTCCTCCCTCCTGGGGATTTGATCCCCCATGGCCACCGCTAATAGCATCATTGTGCTGGATGATGATGATGAAGATGAAGCAGCTGCTCAGCCAGGGCCCTCCCACCCACTCCCCAATCCGGCCTCACCCCAGCCAGAAGCCCCTGGCTCCTCTGAGCCCCATGGGGCCGGAGGAAGCAGTAGTTCTGGCGGCAAGAAATGCTACAAGTTGGAGAATGAGAAGCTGTTTGAAGAGGTGAGCTTTAGGGGAGAATATTCTTGTGCCCTAGGGAGGGGGATGGCTGACTGGCTCTCCTGTCTTGTCTTCCCCACTAACCCCAAATTGCCTTCTTTCTCTCAACCCTCTCCCTTGTTTCTTTCCCCTTCCCTTTTTTCCTTGAATCGTCTAGTTCCTTGAACTGTGTAAGACACAGACATCGGACCACCCTGAGGTGGTCCCATTCCTCTATAACCGGCAGCAGCGTGCCCACTCTCTGTTTTTGGCTTCTGCGGAGTTCTGCAACATCCTTTCTCGGGTCTTATCTCGGGCCCGGAACCGGCCATCTAAGCTCTATGTATATATCAATGAGCTCTGCACTGTTCTCAAGGCCCACTCAGCCAAGAAGAAGCTGAACCTTACCCCTGCTGCCACCACTTCTAGTGAGCCATCTGGGAATAACCCTCCCACAGATTCTGCTTCAGACCCTGCAAATGCTGAAACTACTGCTTCTGAGACCCCAAGGACGCGTGGTTCTCGGAGGCAGATCCAGCGCTTAGAGCAGCTGCTGGCACTCTACGTTGCAGAGATTCGTCGACTGCAGGAGAAAGAGCTGGATCTTTCAGAGTTGGATGACCCAGACTCTACATATCTGCAGGAGGCCCGGTTGAAGCGTAAACTGATTCGCCTCTTTGGGCGTCTGTGTGAGCTGAAGGACTGCTCTTCGTTGACAGGCCGTGTCATAGAGCAGCGCATCCCCTACCGTGGTACTCGCTACCCAGAGGTTAATAGGCGCATTGAGCGGCTCATCAACAAGCCAGGGCCTGATACTTTCCCTGACTATGGAGATGTGTTGAGGGCTATAGAGAAGGCAGCTACTCGTCACAGTCTTGGCCTTCCCCGACAGCAGCTCCAGGTCCTGGCTCAAGATGCCTTCCGAGATGTGGGCGTCAGGTTACAGGAGCGACGCCACCTTGATCTCATTTACAACTTTGGCTGTCACCTCACAGATGACTATAGGCCAGGTAGGGGGTTAGAGGGATGCTCATCAGTGATTCTTTAGTAGCAGAGGGGGCATGTCCCCAATTCCTTCCAGGGTTTGGGCTGAGTGCTGTCACTATATCTTCCCACATAGGCATTGATCCTGCACTATCGGATCCTGCATTGGCCCGGCGCCTTCGGGAAAACCGAAGCTTGGCTTTGAGCCGGCTGGATGAGGTCATTACCAAATATGCAATGATGCAAGACAAAAGTGAGGAGGGCGAGAGACAGAGGAGAAGAGCCCGGCTTCCCGGCACCTCTTCCCCCTCTGCAGAACCCCGCAAAGCCTTGGATTCTGGTGAGGTGTGGAAGGGATACACCCTTAAGAGAGACCTTATCCTCTCCCCCACAGTAACCACCAGGGATTCCAGGGTGACCAAGAGGGGGTGTGCAGAAGGAATGCAAGAACTGAACCCTCTGGGGCAAGGAATTTCTTAGAAAAACTGCTTTTTCCCTCAGGGCCCTAGTGGAATGGCATCTCCAAAGTGCCCTGCTACCTCCAAGGCCGAGACAGATGATGAAGAAGATGAGGAAACTGATGATGAGGAGGAAGAGGAAGAGGAGGTCACAGATTCTGAAGAAGAGGAGGATCTAGAACAGATACCGGAAGGTCAGGGGGATGATGAAGAGGAAGAAGAAGAGGAGGAGGAGGAGAGAGCAGGTATGTAAGAGAAACCTCCTTCTTGTAAGTTCTACTCTTTTGGGCATCAGCCACCTGTTGAGACTCTTTTCTTTCCTCTTATTCCTAGTTTATTCTCAGGAGTATTTCCCCCTTAGTCCTCATACTACTCCTCCCTTCTTTTTTTCTTTCTCAGGTAAGGATGGAGACAAGAGCTCCATGTCCCCACTACATATTTCCAATGAAAAGAAGCTGGAATCTGGCAAAGAGATCAGCGGGTCTTCAGGGGAGCAGCAAAACAAAGAACTCACACTGTCACCAGCTTCACTGTTGGAAGAACCTCTGGCTCCCTCCAGCATTCATGCAGAAAGCAGTGGAGAACATCTTGAAGAGTTGCCCCTGGAGGAAGAGAGCCCTATGTCTCAGATCTTTGAGCTAGAGATTGAAGCATTGCCGGTGGATACTACCCCTTCCCCTGAAGGCAGCGATATTTCCTCATCCAGGAAGCAGACAGAGGATCCCCTCACCACTGTCTTGGAGAATGGGGCAGCCATGGTCACCTCCACGTCCTTCAATGGAGGTGTCTCTCCCCATATTTGGGGAGGTTCCAGTCCCCCCTGCAAGAAATTTCGGAAGGAGAGGAAGCAAAAAGGATCTGGACCATTAGAAAACAGGTAAAAACAACAGGAGGAAGAAGAGAAGTTGAGGAGGGATTGCCGGGTTCTTTCTTCAGAGAAATACTGGAGAACTGAGTCTGCTGGGAGAGCCTGTGCACTCTCCCTCCAGCCTTAGGTCCTCATACTCTTCATGCATTTGTTTTGTCCTCAGCTTTGTAGAAGATCAAAAGACAGTGCATGAGAAGAATGGGAAGAAAATATATACCCTGTCCAGCCCACCTTCCCCCTTGGCTTCCACAGTCCCAGTTGCCGATTCCTCCACGAGGGTGGACTCTCCCAGTCATGGCCTGGTGACCAGCTCCCTCTGTAGCCCTTCTCCAGCCCGGTTGTCCCAAATTCCCCAATTACAACCTCCCCGGCCTGGCACTTACAAGGTAAGAGGGGAGGCTGTTTTTCCCCTTACAGTTCATTCTCTTTCATTGCTTCAGTTCTGTAAATATGACACCTGCCACATCTCTTCCCTTTTTCCCATTCTGTTTTTTTAATCTCCTAAGTCATTCCCTCATACTTCTCCCCCAGTACTCCAGACTTTTCTCTCACTTCCCTGCAGATGAGTGTGGCCACACAGTGTGATCCAGAGGAGATCATCGTACTCTCAGACTCTGATTAGCTGCCTCCTCCTCTCCCTGCCTCTAAAATGTTTTGGGATAGCATTTGGAGGATGGTGGGAAGCAGATGACCGAGGAAGGGATGGACTGAGCTAATCTCTTTTTGGTGGTGATTCTTTTAAACAAAGCTTAAGTTTTACACAGAAACATTAATAAAGTTCTTTTCTTATTGTATTCCTGTCTTTTTCTTGTCCTTCTGTTGTCACAGCTTGGTATCAGCTGCCCCTTGGCTCAGGTTAGCCCAGGACCCCAAGTAGTGCAAGATTTGCCCTTTATACCCTGGCCGGCACACCTCTCTCGAGGCTTCCTAGCGCTCAGGCCTTCCTGGTGCACTCCTCTAGGCACTTAAAAAAACAAAAAGTGCTTCAGCCTCCTTAACGCGCTGTACTTTCTCACTTCAAGCTCTAAGAAGGAAAAGGCCAATCGGAGGCCGACTCAAGGTTACATGGCCAATCCAGGCCCGGAGGAAGGGGGCGGGGCTTCAACGAGACTGTCAGAAGCAGGGAAGAGGGTTATTAGATCCCCCAAAGCCGCTAATGGCCACAGCTTGGGGGCGGAGCCAGGAGCGAAGACCAGGACCCGTCACCAGTGGCTTATGGAATTAAAGGGGAATGAAGGATTTGGCTAAACCAAGTCCCGGGTCTTCAACAGAAGAGGGAACCAGGTACCTTTAAGGTGTAATGCGACGACGGTTCTTTAAAGGAGAAGTGGCTGAGTCGGCGGAGTATTGCCCAGCGGCACGGGCGGGTGCCCGCCTGTGCCTTTAAAGTCGGAGGGGCAGGAGGCGGAGCGGAGGCGGAGGGCGGAGGGAGTCGGCGCAAGATGGCGGCGGGAGGGGCCCAGGCTGCAGCTCTGGCCGCCGAGTGAGGGGCGGGGGGGGCCCGGGGGCGCGCGGCCCGGTAAGCGGGGGCGCGCGGGGCTGGGGGCGCCTTCCGGGTGGGAGAAGAGGCCGAGGTAGTGCTTGGGGCGGAGCAGGGGGGGCGGGGTCCGATGTGGGCGGGGGCAGCCAAGGGGCGGGGTCGGAAGATCCTGTGGGGGCGGAGCACGGGGAGGGTCTCGAAAGGGGCGGGGTTAGTGGTGCGCCGGGGCGAAAGGGGCGTGGTCTGTGAGAGGGGGTCCGAGCCCCAAGAGATGGAGCCAAGGGTGGTTTTCAGTAGAGGAGCAGACCTGCCCCGCCTCAAGCAATGGGTGCAAAACACCAAAAAGGTGGATTTTTGAAAAGTCAGGCTCTCAGGGAAATAGGATGTAATTCCAAGGTGAAGTTACCCTTACTCCCTAAGAGTGCCTTATTTCTCTAACCTTCAAGGAAAGGGTACTAAATTTGGGGTCTGGACACCTGCGTTTTCTGGTGCTGCCATTTACTGGTTGTGTGACCTTGGATAATCTCTTAATCTTCCTGAGCCTTAGTTTACTCATCTGTCAAATGGGATTGAGAGGTATACCTTACCCAGTATTGTAAAGTGTTGCTTAGAGACCAGCATGAACATGTTTTTAAACTGCAATAGTCTATGTCTTTATAAAATGTTATTCTTTTTTTTTTTTCCCCAGAGACCCCCCCGGCCGCCCTCCTCCTTCCTTTGTTCCAGTGGCTGGGGGGGTGTCCCCTCCCTCCACAACATGGAGCCATCTGGTCTATCACCCAGTGGGGCAGCACTCCCCTTGCCTCTATCGCTGGCTCCACCCCCACTGCCCCTGCCAGCCGCTGCAGTGGTACATGTGTCCTTCCCTGAAGTGACCAGTGCCCTTCTGGAATCCCTCAATCAGCAGCGGCTTCAGGGCCAGCTCTGTGATGTATCCATCCGAGTGCAAGGCCGGGAGTTTCGGGCTCATCGGGCTGTCTTGGCTGCCTCTTCTCCTTACTTCCATGACCAGGTCCTACTCAAGGGCATGACCTCCATCTCACTGCCCAGCGTCATGGACCCAGGTGCCTTTGAGACTGTCCTGGCCTCTGCTTACACTGGCCGCCTGAGCATGGCTGCTGCTGACATTGTCAACTTCCTCACTGTGGGGTCTGTGCTCCAGATGTGGCACATTGTGGACAAGTGCACTGAACTCCTCCGAGAGGGCCGAGCGTCAGCCACCACAACCATCAGTACTGCCGCAGCCACTTCTGTCACTGTCCCTGGTGCTGGGGCCCCATCAGGGAGTGGGAGTACTGTGGCCCCTACCACCACAGGCTCTGTGCGCTCCCATACCTCCAGCCGGGCCAGTGAGAATCAGTCTCCCAGCAGCAGCAACTACTTCAGTCCCCGGGAGTCCACTGATTTCTCATCTTCCACCCAAGAGGCATTTGCAGCTTCTGCAGTGGGCAGTGGGGAGCGACGAGGAGGTGGCCCTGTATTCCCAGCCCCTGTAGTTGGCAGTGGGGGTGCCACCTCTGGGAAGTTGCTGCTGGAGGCAGATGAGCTATGCGATGATGGTGGGGATGGGAGGGGGGCGGTGGTCCCTGGGGCTGGGCTTCGGCGACCCACCTATACACCTGCCAGTGTCATGCCACAGAAACATTGGGTATATGTGAAACGGGGTGGAAATTGCCCTGCACCAGCACCCCTGGTTTCCCAGGACCCAGATCTAGAGGAAGAGGAGGAAGAGGAAGACCTGGTGTTGACCTGTGAGGATGATGAAGATGAAGAGCTGGGGGGTGGCTCTGGGGTTCCAGCTGGGGGAGGGCCTGAGGCTACTCTCAGTATCAGTGATGTCCGGACCCTGACTGAGCCCCCAGACAAGGGCGAGGAGCAGGTCAACTTCTGTGAGTCCTCTAATGACTTTGGCCCTTATGAGAGTGGGGGTTCTGGGGCAGGGCTTGATGACTCAGGGGGACCCACCCCCTCCTCCTATGCCCCCACCCATCCCCCAAGACCCCTCCTTCCCGTAGACATGCAGGGCAACCAGATTTTGGTCTTCCCATCATCTTCCTCTTCCTCCTCCTCACAGGCTCCGGGCCAGCCACCAGGGAACCAGGCAGAACACGGGGCTGTCACCCTGGGGGGCACATCAGGGGGAGGCCTGGGTGTGCCAGGTGGCACTGGTGGAGCCCCTGGAGGGACCAGCAGCGGGGACGGTAATAAGATCTTTCTGTGTCACTGCGGGAAGGCCTTCTCCCACAAGAGTATGAGGGATCGGCACGTGAACATGCACCTCAACCTGCGGCCCTTTGACTGCCCCGTGTGCAACAAAAAGTTCAAGATGAAACACCACCTGACGGAACACATGAAGACACATACAGGTCTCAAGCCCTACGAGTGCGGTGTCTGTGCCAAGAAGTTCATGTGGCGAGACAGTTTCATGCGTCACCGGGGACACTGTGAGCGCCGGCACCGCATGGGTGGGGGCGGGGCGGGACTTGGACCTGCAGCGCCCACTGGGCCAGCCTTGCTTCCCAAGAGAGAGTCTGCCGGTGCGGGCGGGGGCAGTGGTGACGAGGCGAGTGGCACGCCCCCATCCAGCAGACGAGTCTGGTCCCCACCCACTATCCACAAGGTGGAGATGGGCTTCAATGGGGGCGGCGGAGCAAACTGAAGGGGCAAGCAAGTGGGGTTACTTCGGGGGAAGAGGGAATAGGGAGCACGATCCAGGGGCACCATGGCCCCCTGGTGATCTCCCATCACACTCACTGTCTTCCTTTATCTCTTTGGACTTGTATATATTGTGGAGGGGGAACCACATTGCACCACCGCCAGCCCATTCCACTCTTTAGCCCCTTCCTTTCAAGGTATCCGGAATTAAGTCACCTTTCTTTCCCCTCTGGTGGGTATTCCGAAGCCCCAGTTCCACATAGGAGGGCGAACATGGTGGGGGAGGGAAAGGGGCGTGTAGAGCATCTTGAATTCACAGGGTCAAGGGTCAGGTTGTTTAGTCTGTGCCTGAAGTCTGTGTTTGTGTTGTGGGGACAAGGCCTTTGAGCCCCACTGTTGTCCTAGAATCTACCCCTTCCTGCAGGATGCGACCCTATTTCTATGCTCTCTCACACACACACCTCCCCTGGGGATCCTCACTCAACTTGGTTCTCAATAGGGAGTGGGTGGAAATAGGAGGGAGTAAGTCGTAGTACAAGCTTTTAATTTTTTAAACAGTGATTAAAATATTTATTGGTCATTTCACTTGGCTTCCCTATAACCCCTACGTGCTTATTGGGGACCTGACACCGGTGTGCGAAGCGGGAGTAATAGTTCTCAGGGAAGTGCATAGTGCGGGGAAGATCCTAGAGGGGAGTTTAGGTTTGGGGAGGGCTCAAATCCGGCGATGCTGGGTAGTCCAGGAGGTGGTGGCGGGGCTGAGGCGTCCACTGAAACCTGGAGAGGAAGTAACCAGAATATCCGTGCTTGACCAGTGGGGGATACATCCACCTCCACGGTCCTCACCTAACCTGAGCGGGGATTGCCTCGGCTCCTCCTGCTGTCCTTTGGAGGAAAGGAAAGCGAAAGTGAAAGGAGGAAGAGAAGGCTTCTCGGGGCTGAGGAGATCGCAGCGCCATGAAGCCCCTGTCCCTGCTCCTTGCTGTGACTTTGGGTGAGCGAACCCCGCGACTTCTCGCCCAGGAACAGGGGTGGGGAAGCGGAAAAGGAAGCCCCACCGAGCGTCGGCACCGTGTGTGTGTGGGGGGCGGGGGTTGGGTCATATGACATCGGCCGCCCAGTCACCCGCGGCCCGCTCCCCCAGGCCTGGCGACCACCGTCTCAGCAGGACCATCTGCGATCGAGTGTTGGTTCGTGGAGGATGTGGGCGGGGGCGGCCTGGCCAAGAGACCCGCCGCACTGCTTCTGCGCCAGGGACCCGAGGGACCGCCACCCCGGCCAGACCTCGACCCTAAGCTCTACCTCAAAGTGGACGGTGAGTCTTCCGGGACTCGCCCCCATCTCTGTGTACTCTACCGAAAATCCCTCCTCTTTAGAACGCGCATTGACCTCGGGCCTGAGTTTCTCCCTCTGTCTAAATGAGTCTGGATTACCTCTAAGCTTCTCGCTACGAGGTACACTGTTCAACTGAAGTTTACTGAACCGTACCCTTCCAGTCCCGGGCAGTGACTCTACAGCTGCATTTCTTCCCCGATCTCACAGACCCCACGGGCACCCTGCAGGCTGCCTTCAGGAGGTACCCCCGGGGCGTCCCCGCACCACACTGCGAGATAAGCCGATACATCCCGCTCCCTGCCTCTGCAAATTGGGCCAGCGGCCTGACCCCGGAGCGGAGCTGCCCGCGGGCCCTGGACGGGGCTTGGCTGACCGTCAGCATGTCCAGCTCGGTTCTTAGCCTCTCCAGCCTCTTGCGACTCCAGCCAGAGCCTCAGCAGGAGCCTGTTCTTATCACCGTGGCAACAGGTAGCTGGGGAGGGGAGATAAGAGATGGAGGGGGAAATTCTAACCATTCTGATTACCTGGACTCGCAGTATGGTCTTAAGCTAATCATTTCTGCACTCAGGGTTCAGTTTCCGTTTTGTAAAGCGAGATAGTTTAGCTAGAATTAATCGGCCTCTAGTGTTCCTCCTAGCCCTGAACCAGTAAGATAAAAACCAACCGCGGTTTGGGGGCGGGACTTCGTGGTGCTTTGAAGGGCGGGGCTTTGGAGAGGCGAGGTTTCTGGGCATCAAATTTTGGGATATTTGTAAGGTTATGGAGTAGGGAGGTGTTTAGAAGCTGGAACTTTTTTTCTCCGCTCCTCTCAGGTCTGTATCTTGTTAGGCAACCCCCTAGCTTTGCAGTACACCCTGTTCCAAATACCAATCTTCGACCCTCACCCGCTCCCACAAGCCCGATGAGGCAATCAGCAAAGCAATGGCTGTTGCTCTAAAGTGCATTTTCCTTCCCTTAGGCACGTTGGTATGCGCTATGATTCCCCAAACAGTGGGCTCTAGTGGGCTAAAGGGACGTGGCGGGAGACCACCTATGGCGTGGTACAATGCGGTCCTAGTGTCCAGACGTCTGACACCTTGCTGGGCAGTGGGTTTCTAAGTCTGGATTGGAGCAGATCTGACCTGGATGTCTATGAGCTCTTGCTTCTTCTCCCTGTGAGGCCAGGTAGTTACAGGTAGAATCCTTGGCTTCTCAATCTTGTCCCAACCTGATAGACAGGTCAGCCGCAATGGAGCTCCTGCTTCCCTTCCCCGGTTCCTTTTCCCTTAATCACTGGTAGAGAATCACACATAGGAATATCACAAATATTCCTCTGTTGAGCACTACTGTCCCCACTACTGTCTGAGACTCCAAAAACCTCAACTGTGTCAGCAGCTCCCACACTGGGCAGAGGCAGAAGAAAACTGCTCTTTGTGGGGACAGTAGTGCTCAACAGAGGAATATTTCCTAGGGCTGCTGGCTTCACTATGAGGTGGTGATGAGAATGTTTCTCTCTGAGTTTGTTCTTCCACCTGTAAAAGGTGCATACCATTTCCCACCTGCCTTTTAGTTGTGACTATCAAGGGAGGCATTGTGTTAATTTATTCACTGATTGAATAAATATTTGTTAGCACTAAGAAAAAGGGCTCAGGAGTTCTTTGATAAGGTTGCAAATAACACTTATGTTGGAACCTTCTAAAATATCCCCAAACCACAGGGCACTGAGGCACACTGCTGTAATCACAGCAGCTTGGGATATTGAGGCAGGAGGATCACAAGTTCAAGGCCAGTCTCAGCAACTTAGTGAGGCCCTCTCAAAAATAAAAAGGGCTGGGGATGTGGTTCAATGGTTGAGCATCCCTGGGTTCAATCTTCAGTACCAAAGTGTGTGTGTGTGTGTGTGTGTGTGTTTATATATACAACAAAACCTGGGTCCCTCTATAGGAAAATTAAATCAATATATGGGAGCTGTGTGTGTAGCTCAGTGGTAGAACACTTGCCTGTTATGCTTAAGGTCCTGGGTTCCAAATCCAGCATCGAAAAAAAAAAAAAAAACCAATATGTGGGGTGGTCCTGAATACTGTTAAGGTCACAAACGTTATCAGGTGTAGATTGTGCCCTCAAAGAGGTTCTCAGATTTGTCATAGATAATCCTAACATAAAGTAGAAAGTGACTTGTGGGGCTCAGTTGGTAGAGTGCTTGCCTCACATGTATAAGGTCTTGGGTTCTATCCCCAGCACCACAAAAAAAAAAAAAAAAAGAAAGAAAGAAAGTGACTTGTGTATGGCTGAGGGTGTAGCTTTGTGGTACTTAGTGCCAGTGCTTAGAATGCACTGAAGGCCCATTTCTAATGGCCTTCTAAAAAACATTTCTAATTGATTAGGGACTATAAAAGCTATTATTATGATGTAACATTAGAAATGGAATCTCTTTGGGGTCAGATATCATTGATAATTAATTTTTACTTTTTTAAAAAAATTACGTGAAACTGAGGATTGAACTCAGGAGTGCTCTACCACTAACTTATATCCCCAGTCCTTTTTATTTTCTATTTTGAAACTCTCACCAAATTGTCCAGGCTGGCCTCAAACTTGTAATCCTCCTGCCTCAGCCTCCCAAGTAGCTGAGATTACAGGTGTAGACCACTATATTATGTATTACAAATACACTTTCTTGGGTTTTTTTGTTGTTGTTTGTTTGTGTCATGTGGTGCTAGGGACCATGTGTGCTAGGCAAGTGCTTCCACTGAGCTATCACTCCAGCCCTCAAATATATATATTTTTTTAATATTTATTTTTTAGTTTTCGGCAGACACAACATCTTTGTTTGTATGTGGTGCTGAGGATCGAACCCAGGCCGCATGCATGCCAGGAGAGCGCGCTACCACTTGAGCCACATCCCCAGCCCCTCAAATATATTTTTTTGGCATATTTTGGGTATATAGTATTTAATTCTCACCTTTTTTTTTTTTTTTTTGGTACCAGGGATTGAACTCAGCCCACTCAACCACTGGGCCACACTCCTAGACCTTACCTTTCTCATATTTTATTTAGAGACAGGGTCTCACTGAGTTGCTTAGTGCCTCACCATTGCTGAGGCTGGCTTTGAACTCAAAATCCTTCTGCCTCAGCCTCAGGAGTCGCTGGGATTACAGGCATGCACAATCTGGCTAATTTTCACCATTCTTTTAGAATATTTTTATGGAAATGTTAAAGATACACAAAAGGGCTGGGGATGTAGCTCAGTGGTAGAGTGCTTGTCAAGGTCTTGGGTTTGATCTCTAATACCACAAAAACAAAACAAACAAAATTCCCCATAAAATTAGAGAACATAGTGAATGAACTCCTCTATGTCCATTTCTACCCATTATGCATTTGGAGAGTTATAAAATTTTATCAAATTGTTTCACTTACCCTCCCTCTTTTTATTTACTTATTTTTACGGATACTGAGGATCGAACTTAGTACCTCACATGTGCTAGGCAAGACTCAACCGCTGAGCTACAACCCCAGCCTCTTTTTATTTTTTGAAGTGTTTGAAGGTATATTCCAAGCACCATATTATTTTACTCATAAGTACTTCAGAATGCATCTCTATTAAATAAGGGTTTTAAGAAAACTTAATCACAATATGTTTATCATACCTAACAAAACAAGTAATAATTCCTTAGTATCATCTTGATCTGGGGATGTAGTTTAGTGGTAGAGAACTTGCCTAGCATGCTCTGGGTTGGATCCTCAGAACTGTAAAACAAATACCTATTGATTTTTGGGGGGAAACGTGGTCACTTGTTCTGTAGAATTTTCTTCATCCTGAAGTTGGCCAATTTTTTCCTCCTGTGTCATTTACCATATTCCACTTTCCTCTATATTTCCTATAAATTGGTAGATCTAAAGATTTAGATTTGTTTTTTTATTTATTTATTGGTACTGGGGATTGAACCCAGGGGCACTTAACCACTGAGCCACATCCCCACCCGTTTTTTGTATTTTATTTAGAGAGGGTCTCACTGATTAGGGCCTCATTAAGTTATTGAGGCTGGCTTTGAACTTGTGATCCTCCTGCCTCACCTCCTGAGTGGCTGGGATTACAGGCAGATGCCACCACCTCTGGCTGGTGATTTTTTTTTTTTTCAATAATTTTTTATTATTAGTTGTTTTTCACTTTTTTTTTTTTTTTTTTTTGCTGTACTGGGAATTGAAGCCAGGGGGCGATCTACAGAGTTACATTCCCAGTCCTTTTTTAGGAACTCACTAATTTGTTCAGGTTGGTTTGGAACTTTGGATCTTTCTGGCTCAGTCTTTGGTATAGCTGGGAATACAGGACCAGACCACCAAGCCTGGCTGTGTTTACTTCTGTATTCCTACAGAGTACAATTTAAAGGATGCAGGTCTAAAATTGCTTTCCATAGCCCTTATTAAAGATCACTATTGCAGGGCATGGTGGGGCATACCTGTAAAACCAGCTATACTGGAGGATTGAGGCAGGAGGATGGCAGAATACCCCTGGGTTCAATTCCCAGTTTAAAAAAAAAAATCACTGTTAAATTGAGAGTTAAACTGTAAAATCTTTAGATATTTATTAATCCTGATTTTTTTTTTTTTTTTTTTTTTTTTTTGTACCAGGGATTGAACACAAAGGCGCTTAACTATTGAGCCACACCCCCAGCCCTTTTTTGTATTTTATTTAGAGACAGGGTCTCACTGAGTTGCTTAGGACCTTGCTAAATTGCTGAGGCTGGCTTTGAACTCATGATCCTCCTGTCTCAGCCTCCTGAGCCACAGGGATTATAGGCATGCAGACACTGCACCTGGCTAATCCTGATTTTTACTTTTGAATTGCTTTTTTTAAAAATCAGGATTAAGAAAAATCCAAAAACATACTTTTGAATTGCTTTTTTTTAAAAAATCAGGATTAAGTAAAATTGCACTTTTTTTTTTTTTAACTAAACAATTGACTGAGACAAGATGCTATGTTGGACTTGAACTTTGCCTACATGCCCCCCACCCTTGAGGCCACTGCATCTCTGGCTCCAAGTCTCTCTCTCTCTCTCTTTTTTTTTTAACTAAACTTTTGAGAAAAGTTTAACTTCATAAGCCTCAGAAACTAATATTAAAAATAAATAACCAAGGTGTGGTGCTTGAACCTGTAATTTCAGCTATTTGGGAGACTGAAGCAGGAGGATGACTTAAGCCTAGGAATTCAAGACATCCTGAACAGGGCTGGGGATGTGGCTCAAGTGGTAGCGCGCTTGCCTGGCATGCGTGCGGCCTGGGTTCGATCCTCAGCACCACATACAAACAAAGATGTTGTGTCTTGCCTTGCAAGGCAAGACCTTGCCTCAAAAATAAATAAATAGTGCCCAGTGTGGTGGCCCTCACCTATAATCCCAGTGACTGGGGAGGCTGAGGCAAGAGGATTGTATGTTCAAAGCTAACGTCAGCGATTTGGTGAGACCCTAAGCAACTTAGTAAGACCCTGTCTCTAAATAAATAATAAAAAGGGCTGGGGATGTGGCTCAGTGGTTAAATTTCCCTGGATTCCATCCCCAGTACCAAAATAGTAGTAGTAATAATAATAATAATATACATAAATAGTAAATAATAGCAAATAGGAAATAATAGTAAACAATAGTAAACAAGGAAACAAAAAATTTTAGCAATAGCACATACCTGTAATCCCAGTGTCATTGGGAGATTGAGGCAGGAGGATCCCAAGTTTGAGGCCAGCCTAGGCAACTTAGCAGAGACTCTGTCTCAAAATCAAATATAGAAAGGGCTGGGGATATAGCTCAGTGGTAGAGTGCTTATGGGTTCAACCCCCAGCACCCCAAAACATGATAAGAAAAGAAAAATTACTTCTACATCAAGGACCTAGACATTTCTGGGAAGAAGTAGCAGTGGAACTAGCCTTGAAGGACATGAAGTGGTATTTAGATGTCTGAAGAAATAGAGGAAATACTGACTAGAGATGTAGCTCGATATAGGACACTTGCCTAGCATGCTTGAGTCCCTGAGTTGGATAGTTGGATCCCCAGCAGCACCAAATAAAACAAAAGACATTAGAAACCGTAGAACCTCATAACCAAAGCAAAAAGATGTAATTAAAATTTAGTCACAAGAAAGGTTTTTTTTTTTTAGTACCAAGGATTGAACCCAGGGACATTTAACCACTGAGTCACATCCCCAGCCCTTTTTATTTTCTATTTTCAGACAGGGTCTCACTAAGTTGCCTAGGGCCTCAATAAATTGCTTAGACTGACTTTGAACTTGTGATCCTCCTGCCACAGCCTCCTTAGCTGCTGGAAGTATAAGCAAACAAAGGGATTCTAATGTGACTAGTTTTCAGGATGTGAAGCAGTCTGGAAAGGTCGTTTGGGGATTGAGTTTTCAAATATCTGAAGGCTGAGTTGTATTCTGTAGATGATAGTGGACTACAAGAAGTTGTTTTTGTTTTTGAGGAGGAGTCATTTATCCCCAAAGCCTGTTATTTTCTTTGATTATCACAAAATATATTTAAGAATTGGCTGATAGGACTAGTGAGGAAAATATAGGTTAAGTGATGTATCTAGGAAGTCCATGATGATGATGAAGGTAGTGAAATTAGTAACAGCTAACATTTGTGGAGTATCTTCTATATGCTAGGCCCTGTTCTAGGTACTTTATATGCATAATCTTATTTATTTCTTCAAAAGTCATAGGACATGGGTGTGTTAGTATTTTTTTAATATTTCTTTTTTGGGCTGGGGATGTGGCTCAAGCTGTAGTGCGCTCACCTGGCATGCGCAGGGCGCTGGGTTCGATCGTCAGCACCACGTAAAAATAAAGATGTTGCGTCCACCGAAAACTAATAAATAAATATTAAAAAAATTTCTTTTTTAGTTGTAGTTGGACACAATACCCTTATTTTATTTATTCTTTTTTAAAAATACTTATTTCTTAGTTTTCGGCGAACACAACATCTTTGTATGTGGTGCTGAGGATCGAACCCGGGCCGCACGCGTGCCAGGCGAGCGCCCTACCGCTTGAGCCACATCCCCAGCCCCTTTATTTATTCTTATGTGGTGCTGAGGATGGAACTCAGGGCCTCACACGTGCTAGGTGAGCACTCTACTGCTGAGCCACAACCCTAGCCTGGGTGTGTTAGTATTATTGCCATGTTGCAAATGAAGAAATCTGAGAGTAATTAGGTAACTTAACCAAGGAATATAGTTTATAAAAAGAAGGGTTCAAAATTGAACCCAGGTTATGTAGCTCTAGCCTGCATACCTTTAGCTACTGACTTCCTTGATAACTGGGATTTTGAGGGGTTTTTGTTTCTTTTTTGAGACAGTGTCTTAATAGATTGTCTAGGCTGCCCTTGAACTCCTGGGTTCAGTTGATCCTCCTGCCTTAGCCTCCTGAGTAGCTGGGACTATAGGTATGTGTCAACATGTCCAGGTGGCAGTTGGGATTTTTTTGCGGGGAGGTGGTGGTACTGGGGATTGAACCTAGAGGCACTCCAACACTGAGTTACTTTCCCTGCCCTTTTTATTTTTTGAGACAGGACTTGCTAAGTTGCCCAGGCTGGCCTGGAACTTGCAATCCTCCTGCCTCAGCCTCCCAAGTTGCTGTGATTATAGGAGAGCACCACTGCACCAGTTGGCAGTTGGAATTTTTAATCAGGCAAGTGACCTGAGCAGACATGTAGCCACACTGTTTGATTACAGGGTAAAGTAGGGGTTGAAGGAGAGAATGACAATTGAGAGACCAGAGAAGAGGCTATTGTAATTGTCCAAATGTATGTTGAAAAGTACCTGAGTTGTAAACAGGTATGAGATCGTGATGAGAATAGCACGACATATTATTTTTGGCAATTTGCTTTTCTCTCATATCTCCTCCCCTCCCCTCTCATGCTGTCTTCCCCAGTGGTGCTGACTGTCCTCACCCACACCCCTGCCCCCCGAATCCGACTGGGACAAGATGCTATACTGGACTTGAGCTTCGCCTACATGCCCCCAACCCTCGAGGCTACTGCATCTCTGGCCCCAAGTCCCCCTCCCTTTGGGCTGGAGTGGCGACGACAGCACCTGGGTAAGGGGCACCTGCTCCTGGCTGCAACTCCTGGGCTGGGTGGGCAGATGCCAGCAGCCCGAGAAGGAGCAGTGGCGTTTGCTGCTTGGGATGATGATGATCCATGGGGCCCATGGACCGGGAATGGGACCTTCTGGCTGCCTGCCGTGCGACCCTTTCAGGAGGGCACCTATCTGGCCACTGTACACCTGCCATACCTGCAAGGACAGGTCTCCCTGGAGCTTACTATGCACAGTGAGTGGGGCCAGATGTCTCTGGGGGTAGAGGGTGGCCACTGGGGTTAGGAGGATACTATGACAGAGGGAGGGGTGATGAAAAAGAGGGGCCCTGGGAATCAGAGAAGCAGTAGTGTGGGGTGGAGAGTCCCTGGGGATCTGATGGACTTTGGCTTGGAGATTCCTGTGAAGCACTCATGGGGACAGTGTGTTCCCCATTCTTGGAGAATACCCCTTGTCATTTTGGGGGAAGCTGGAGAGTAAGCTGAGGGAAGACATTGTGGACCGACTTCTCATGTTCATTTCCTTCTCTTTCCCCAGAGCCCCCCAAAGTGTCCCTGTCACCAGCACCCCTTGTTTGGGCTGCCCCAGGGGAGGCACCTCCAGAGTTGCTGTGCCTTGTGTCCCACTTCTACCCTTCCGAGGGCCTGGAGGTAGAGTGGGAGCTCCGGGGTGGCTCAGAGAGTGGATCTCAGAAGGCCGAGGGGCAGAGGTGGCTCTCCTCTCTGCGCCACCATTCAGATGGCTCTGTCAGTCTCTCTGGACACCTGCAGCTGCCCCCAATCACTGCTGAGCAGCATGGGGCTCGGTACATCTGTCGTGTCCACCACTCCAGCCTGCCCGCCTCGGGGCGCAGTGCTGAGGTCACTGTGGAGGTGGCAGGTAAGACCTAGGGGCACTGTGGAGCCCAGGTGATGCCTCGGAAGACACGAAGTTCACTCTCTTCTCTTCCATCTGCCAGGTTTCTCTGGGCCCTCCCTTGAGGATGGCGTAGGGCTCTTCCTGTCTGCCTTCCTCCTCCTGGGACTCTTCAAGGTGCTGGGCTGGGTCGGTGAGTGTGACACTATCCCCACCATGGGAAGGACAGGAGCTAGACACCATTCCTCTGCCCTCCCCCTCTATATTCCCACATCCCAACCCCTCTTAATCTTTCTCCACAGCTGCCTACCTGATCATTCATAAGGATTCCAAGGAGAAGGTAAACAGTGCTCCATTTCCTCTTATCTTCTTCCCCTTCTTATTTAATCCCTCTCTTCCCAACTCATCACCCATGGAGGGAGGCTGCTGCTGTGGTGGGTAGAATCAGACTTGGAATTCACAGAGACCTGCCCTACATTTTAACTGTAGGGCCCCTTGAACATGCTTAAACTGCATTTGTTTCCTTGGATGTCTTGATTTAAAAAAATTACTTAGGCAGTGTTGTCCAATAGAAATATAATGTAAGCCACATATGAAAATTTGAATAATCTAGTAATCACATTAAAAAAGTGAAAAGAAGTTGATTGTGGTGATGCACATCTGTAATCCTAGCTACTAGGGAGGCTGAGGCATGAGGATCACAAATTCCAGGCCAGCCTGGGCAACTTAAGTCCCTGACTGGAAATAAAATTTTTAAAAAGGGGAGGGGGTGTGTAGCTCAGGGTAGAATGCTTGCCTAGCATGTTTATAGGCTCTGGGTTCAATTCCTAGTATTGCAAAAAAAGAAAAAGTAAAATTAATTTGATGCTTTATTTAATCAAATCCAAAATACTGTTATGTAGACATATAAACAATATAAGAAATTATAGGGCTGGGGGTGTGGCTCTGGATTCAATCACCAGTGTCAAAAAGACAAAAAAAAAAAAAATAAATATATAAATAAAAAGAAAAAGAAAGAGAGGGGGGGGGGAGGGGGGGGGGGGGGGAGTGCCTTTTTTCTAACCTAAGTGTTCACAGCTGGTGTTGATTTTAAACTATCAGCACATCAATTCACATTAGCCACATTTCAAATGCTCAATAGCCATATGTGGCTTCCACATTGGTGGTACCATGACTAACAAAATGGTGGCTACCACATTGCACAGAGGAGCTCTGGATGACTATTAGGGGGATTAGGATCTGTTAGAAGATGCAGGAGACAAAGCACTCAGTACAGTAAGTGGCAGGCAGAAAATGTGAGCCCCATCTCTCTCCCACCTGCTGGACTGACCATGGGCAAGTACCTCACCCCACCTCCTGAAACCCCCAAATTCCTCACTTCCTTCTTATTTTCTTCCAGAAATCACAGTGAAGGCACTCAGCACTACCCTGTGGAAGCTACCATCATCTCTGGCCCTAGCTACTGTAGCAGCTCCCCCAAACAGTACCCCATCACCTGCTCCTACTCTCTCAAAACTTCCTACACTGAATGGCTGGAATTTTTTTTTTTTTTTTAAAGACAAATCTTATTGCATTTGTCTTGTTAAAGCTCTTGGGCAGTGGTTCTCAAAATTTTTGGTATCAGGACTTTCTTAAAAATTATCAGTCAGGCCTGTTGGCACATGCCTGTAATTAGGTGAGCCTCAGCAATTTAGTGAGGCCCTAAGCAACTTAGTGAAACCCAGTCTCAATAAAAAATAAAAAAGGCTGGGGATGTATCTCAGTGGTAAAGTGCCCTAGGCTCAATCCTCAGGGCCAAAAATCAAAGACTCTCAAAAGCTTTTGTTATCTGTGCTATAACTATTGATATTTATTGTACTAAAACCTAAAATAGAAAGATTTTAAACACGAGAATACATAAATACACATTCTATTAGTTTTGAAAGCCATGGTGTCAATACATATCATGTAGCTTCTGGAAAACCCCGCATGTACACTCTTAGAAAATTATAATGAAAAATGCAAATAACATCTTTATAGAGTTGTTAAGTTTTAACCTCAAATACCCACTGAAATTGTCTTGGGGACCTCTGGGACAGAAACCAACCTTGGAGAACCAGTGCTCTGGGGTAAATTCATTCTTCCTGCTCCGTCCTGTGAGTCCCCCCACCCTGCCCGAACACTGCCTACCTCTCCAGTCCTACTAGGTGCTCCCCAGCCCTCCTCTCAATGCTCATCAACAGACAGCTATTCCTTTCTTCCGATGAACCAAAGGCCTCCCGCCAGCCTCGAGTTCCGCAGCTTGATTCCCTCTGCCTGGCTCCTTCCCTGGGCCCCCGACTTAGGTCTGCCTCGTGATTCCCCTCAGACAGTCGCGTGTCTGTCTTGTGCGGTTCACCACAGCTGTAGTTAAGTGATTGTGAGAATCGTGGTTAAACGCCCGTCTACCCTCCCGGACTGTGGCTCCTGTGGCTCAGCGTGACAAGCCTGTGTGTCCTCTGCTGTATGACTGGCTCCCACTGGAGGGCGCTCATTAAACAGCTGCTGAACTTAGAACCGAGGAAGCCGCAGCACAAGGGGCTGGACGGTCGTCGGCCAGACGGATGGGGAACGGGTCTAGTGTGGGAATAAAGTAGTGTTCCAGTGCTTCCAACCGGGTGTCGCATTCTATTCCTTTTCCAAAAACAGTCACCTTTGGTCTCTTTCAATTACCCTGGTCTCCCAAACGCCTCGGACATAGCCAATCTCCGGTGGCAACAGTGCAGAGTCACACACCCAGCGGCTCCAAAGACGCCTTAAGCAAACGCTACCTCGGCCCTCCAACCAGCCGCGAGGACCGGAAACGCCCCAGAGCCGAGTCTCAACCGGATGTGGCGGCTTCCTGCCCCGCCCCCAGAGAGTGGGCGGGAACTAAGTGCTCCTCAGAAAACCTGGCGTGGATTCGGTCCGTTGCACTCGTGGGTTGGGGCTGGGAGTGTAACCTCGCAGGGTGCAGTAACCGGGTCTTTTCCCGGCTAAAGCGCTTTCCGCAATAGTGTTGGCCTTGTTCTGGTTGGTGAAAGGAATGTCAAATTCTGCTCCTGCCCTCCTCCGGAGGCTGGAGACTGGAATTTTTATTCCAATTCAGTGAAGAGCGACGTGAGCTCCAGAATCCTGGAGAGGAGGGGCGGGGGACAGTGGAGGTGGGGACCCGAGCCCCTGCGTCTCGGCCCCTGGACGTCCAACGTTCCCCTAGTCCGCGACTCTGGCTCCTGTCCTCACTTCCTTCCCTTTTTGGCTCCTGCTCTCGAAGCGGGCGGACGCGGGGGGGAGCGGAAAGGGCGGGAGGGCCCGGGAGCCCCGAGGGGGGGTGTAGGGGGGTGCGGAAAAGCCGCGGAGGGGACTCGGTCCAGGGACTCTGTAGAGGGCCGGAGACCGACAGGAACAGCGGCCCGGGACCCGCGCTGCCCCCACCGAGCAGGTCAGAGCCAGAGCACCGAATGACCCTGCCCGTCCTGTACTTGTGACCCCCTCATCCCTAAAATGCACCAAGGGCCCTCGTTTTCCACCCCTATTTTGCTCCCTCCCTCAGCCTTCCTGCAGGACTCCCATCCGGTTACCTTTACACTCACCCGCATTCTTTCCCTGTCCCGCTCCCCCACGCCCGCCTGACTCCACCCCACCCCCATCCCCGTCTCTCCCCAGGCGCCCCCATGGCCCGACCCCGCTGATTCCTTCACTTGGCCATGCTCCCGCGGCCCCTGCGGCTGCTTTTGGACACGAGCCCCCCCGGGGGAGTCGTGCTGAGCAGCTTCCGGAGCCGAGATCCCGAAGAGGGTGGGGACCCAGGTGGCCGGGCCGTGGGCGGGGGGCAGGAGGAAGAGGAGGAGGAAGAAGAAGAGGTGAGACGCGGGTGGTGGGAAGCAGGGGCAAACATATTTCGGAGACTCTCCGCCTTTCTCTCGGTGTCTCTGGGTTCCTACGGCGCTTCCTCCCTGCCTCAAGTCATTTTCACGCCTATTGCTGTGTATCTGTCTTCCTGAAGCGGGGAGTCCTGGAGTCTCTGTCTTCTCTGTCAGTGTGACTCAGGATCTGCCCGCGGGAACCTGCCTTGTTCCAGTCTGGAACGTCTGGCTGGCAGTCCCTACGGGGCTCTGGGCCTCTCTGCCTTTGCCTGCCTGAGTTTGTCTCTCGGGGTAGCTGTGTCCTGGTCCCGGTCTTCCTCATTTTTGTTTGGAGGGGAGGGGTTTGTTTCCACAGTAACCAATTCCTCAGACTCTGGGATTGGGGAGGGAGCCCTCAGATTTCGTGACCCCTCCCTCCTTCCCTCCCTCTCTCCTCCTCTTCTACCCTTGATGTTAGATAGAGGCCGGGAAGCCAGGGTTCTGGGACCTGGAGGGACAATCTCAGGCTGGGTAGAGTGTGGTTATCTGTTTTCTCTAGGGACTAATGGTGGTGGCCAAAAGCACGGTTTGGAGCTTCAGGAAGGGCCAGAAGTTAGATTTTTACCCCACTTTGATGGTGCTTGGGATCTAACCAGGGCTCTGCATGCTAGGCAAGCGCTGTACTACTGAGCTACATTTCCAGTCCCAGATGTTATATTTAAGGCCCAGAAGCCCTGGACTCCTGGGTCCAGACACTGGGTGAAGGCGGGGTGACTAGCAGGGCTGGTTTTTCGGGACCGGCCAGGGGAGGGGCTGAGACCACGTGACTCTGAGTCTACCAGCCTCTCCCCCCCACCATCATCCCCACTTCCCCTTCTCCTTCCAGTACTGGGATTGGAGCGGCCACCTTCAGGGGGGGTCCTCAGGGCTGGGATAGTGGAAGCCCCACCCGAGGGACCTGGGGAAAGGGGGCCTAAGGGGACAGACTAATTCTTCTGGCTTGTCCGGTTTTTGGCGGGGAGGGCGGGGCACGCTGCTGTGCCTGTGCCTGAGTTTTCTGCTTCTCAAGGTCTCTGGCTCTCTGCCTGTTTCTCTTCCCTCTTCTGCCCTTTGTACCCTGCTTTTTACTGTGCTGGGGTTCAGCTCTGGGGGGAAGGGGCATTGGGGGTTTCCAGGATCCTGGTTTCTGCGTTCCATCCAATCCCCCACTGCAACCCCCTCGACTTTACCGGGTCCTGAGGCTGCTGGGGGGGGGCTGTCTGGGCCCCCGTGGGGGAGACCTGGGGTCACCAGCCCCCCCCACCCCTCGCACTCGTTGGTACTGTCCCCTGCCATCACAGGTGAGGGGTACAGAGGGAGGAGCAGGGCCTGGGGTGAGAGGGAGGGACAATGGAGATGGTATGGAGTTGTCTGACTTCCTCTTCCTTGCTCCTCCAGGCCCCTGTGTCTGTCTGGGATGAGGAGGAGGATGGTGCCACCTTTACTGTCACAAGCCGCCAATATCGGCCTCTTGATCCCTTGGTGAGATCATGACTTTGGCTTCTCACCTCTGACCCCTCGTGTCCCAGTCCCTTTCCTCTGGCTGACTTTCTGACCAGAGTGCCGGATTGGAGGTCCAGAGCCTACCACTCTGCTGTGTGACTTAGGCTAAGTCCTTTGCCCACTTTGAATCTCATCAAAATGAGTCTGGATAAACTTCTAAGTCTGGAATTGTCCCCAGATATCTAGGGGGCAGTGTTGAAGGAAAGGCCAGTGACCAACTGTCTGTGTCCTCCAGGCCCCCACACCTCCACCACGGTCCTCTCGACGGCTCCGAGCTGGCACCCTGGAGGCTCTGGTCAGACACCTGCTGGATCCCCGGACATCAGGGGCTGACATGACATTCATGTCAGCCTTCCTGGCCACCCACAGGGCCTTCACCTCCACGCCTGCCCTGCTTGGGCTTGTGGCTGACAGGTCAGGGTCATAAGGAGCCAAAGGTCACGGAGATGTTTTCTAAAGCTGGAACATCCATCCAAAGGAGTCAGAGCCATGAAGGGGGTGGGCAGGGGTGGAGGTGGTTGAGGGAGTTGGAAAGATGCACAGATAAGTTCTCTCCCCTCAGGCTGGAAGCCCTTGAGTCTCATCCTACTGATGAGCTAGAGAGGACAACAGGGTGAGTGATCCTATTCTCAACCTCAGTCTCCTCTGCCCAAGCTGTGGCTGGACCTCTGACCCCTGGCTGATTCCCCGTCTCCCAGGGTAGCCATCTCTGTACTGTCAACCTGGCTGGCCTCTCACCCTGAGGATTTTGGCTCTGAGGTCAAGGGTCAGCTTGACCGGCTTGAGGGCTTCTTGCATCGGACAGGGTATGCAGCTGGGGAGGGTGTTGGGGGGGGGCAGCGCTGACCTCTTCCGCAACCTCCGGTCCCGGGTGGACCCCCAGGCCCCCGACCTTCCTAAGCCCCTGGCCCTCCCCGGCGACCCCCCTGCTGACCCCACGGATGTCCTGGTGTTCCTCGCTGACCACTTGGCCGAGCAGCTGACCCTGCTAGATGCGGTGAGACCCTGACCTTTGGTCCCTATGTCCCTTGACCCCTTACTAACCTCTCCTTGACTCCAGATCCTTGTCCTTGCTTCCACCCCATTCCTAATCCAGTTCCTAGCCTCCTCCATCTACTGTTTTGACCTTTTCCCTTGGTGGTTACCCTTTCAAACCCTGTACCCTTCTGGTTCCCTGGCCACCTGAGATCCTCAGATCCCTGGTATTGGAAGGCTCAACTCACTTGACTGTGAACTTTAACCTTTGCCCTCTGCCCTGCAGGAACTGTTTCTCAATCTGGTCCCCTCTCAGTGCTTGGGGGGCCTGTGGGGTCACAGAGACCGGCCAGGACATTCCCACCTCTGCCCATCTGTCCGAGCAACTGTCACACAATTCAACAAGGTGGCAGGGGCTGTGGTTAGCTCTGTCCTGGGGGCCACCTCAACAGGAGAGGGACCTGGGGAGGTGACCATACGGCCACTTCGACCTCCCCAGAGGGCCCGGCTCCTAGAGAAGTGGATCCGTGTGGCAGACGTAAGTAAGGATTGTCCTGTTGGGGACCATGGTGTGGAGAGGGGTCCCACAGCCTTGGCTTTCCTCTTGGACTCCCACAGGAGTGCCGACTTCTCCGAAACTTCTCTTCAGTTTATGCTGTTGTGTCAGCCCTGCAGTCCAGCCCCATCCATAGGCTTCGGGCAGCCTGGGGAGAAGCAGCCAGGTGGGGAGGCCAACGCGCTGGACTGAGGGTGGGAAGACAGGGTGACTAAGACAGGCCTGTCCTCAGGGCCTTTGTTCTCCTTCCCCCAGGGACAGCCTCCGAGTCTTTTCTAGCCTCTGCCAGATTTTCTCTGAGGAGGACAATTATTCCCAGAGCAGGGAGCTCCTCCTGCAGGTGAGGCCCTGTTATCTGGCATACCCAACCTTTCTTGTGCCTACTTGCCATATATCTCCTTGTTTTGTCACCACCAGGAGGTGAAACTGCAGCCCTCTCTGGAGCCACACTCCAAGAAGTCCCCGAGGTCTGGTTCCCGGGGTGGGGTGAGTGATTAGCAGAGGGTTGGGGAGAGGTATGGAGTGCCTTCATAGGGAGAAGTCTGAGGGGTGGGAAGGGGAACCATAGCTGATTGAGGAGAATAAACATTTGTTCTCAGAGGCAATGAGGAGGGAAAGTATGGAGGGATATAGGATCCTTAGACCAGAGACAGGGCCTCTGATCCTGACATCTAACTTCAGGGTGTGGTCCCATACCTTGGTACCTTCCTGAAGGACCTCGTGATGCTGGATGCAGCCTCCAAGGATGAACTGGAGGTCAGTGGTTTGTGTTTGCACTGTAATGATGTAACAAGGGGGCCTTACAGTCAGGTAGACCTCCCTCCAAAAGGAGCTGGGAGGCCTAAGCAGCTGAGCCCAGGGTTCTGGGCTCTGGTTCTGTGACAAGATGCTTCACGTTTTTGTTATCTGTAAATGGGAAACTAGTGGCAATATCTATATCAATCTATTATTTATGAGTTAAATGGATTCATATTTGTTAGGTACTTACAGCATGCTTGAAATGTTGGTATATAGAATTTGTTAATTAAACAAGTACTGAGGGCTGGGGAGTAGCTCAGTAGTAGCTTACCTGCCTAGCATGCACTAGGCTCTGAGTTTGATCCCCAGCACTGAGAAAACAACGACAGATACCTTGAGCAAGTTCCTTGTCCTTTCTGAGCCCTATTTTCTCATCTGTAAAGTAGACACGTTTTTTACCTGAGTTATTAACTTAAAGGGTTAAATGGATGCTTAGGGCATGAGAGAGATGAGGAAGAGGGACAGGAAGGATGGAAGAGTCAGAGAGGCCAGCGGAGTGTAGTGTTTATGGGTTGGATGTGACGGTGTAGTGTTTAGGAGAGGGAACATTCTCTCTGTTGCTTGGAAGGCAGGGTTAAGACTTTTACTCTTATCCCATTGTCCTTGCAGAATGGTTACATCAATTTTGACAAGCGTAGGAAGGTGAGAGGAATGCGTGGGCTGGATGTTGGACATCTTTATCTGTGTCCCAAGAAGAGAATGAGGGGGGAAATTGGGGGTCCCTGAGAGTTTTGGCTCCTGCAGTTGAGGACTCCTTCCCAGGAGTTTGCTGTCCTTTCTGAGTTGCGACGGCTCCAGAATGAATGTCGTGGCTATGACCTTCGACCTGACCCTGATATCCAACAGTGGCTCCGGGGGCTCCGGCCACTGACTGAGGCTCAGAGGTGACTGGCTGGATGAGGTTGGGAGTTCTGTCTAGGTATAGGGGCTTGGTTTCACATCTTGACCTCTTCCCTTTGTTCCCCTCCCCAGTCACCGTGTGTCCTGTGAGGTGGAACCACCTGGTACCAGTGATCATTCTGCCCCACGGGTGCTTCGGCCAACACTAGTCATCTCGCAGTGGACAGAGTGAGGGAGTCAGCAGCTGGGGGGTGGTTCCTTGGGAACTTGTCATTCTTCTCTGATCCTCCCAATCTCTTGCCACTGTAGGGTTCTGGGCTCTGTTGGGGGCCCCACCCCACTTGTATCCTGGGACCGGCCCAGTGTAGGGGGAGATGAGGTTCCTGGAACACCTGCCCCTCTGCTGACCCGACTAGCCCAGGTGAGTTCTGCTCTTGACCTCTGGTTTTCACACTGACCCTGACTCTGTAAATGTGTTTTCCTTAACTTCCCTGTCTTCATGCTAGTCTTCCATGTCATTTGTTCTAGCATATGAAGTGGCCATCTGTCTCATCTCTGGATTCTGCCCTGGAAAGCAGTCCCTCCCTGCATAGTCCAGCTGACCCCAGCCACCTCTCGCCCCCAGCCTCCTCTCCTAGGCCCTCTCGAGGCCACCGCCGCTCAGCCTCCTGTGGGTCCCCATTGAGTGGGAGTACAGGAGAAGGGGCCTCCAGGGGAACTGGATATGGGGGAGGGGGATCTTGTCCAGGGGCCTCTGATTGCCGAATCATCCGAGTCCAGATGGAACTGGGGGAAGATGGCAGTGTGTACAAGAGCATCTTGGTGAGGAAGCCTGGGGCTGGGGGGTAAAGGATGGTGCTTTGTTGAACCAAAAATGTTGTCCTAAATTTGGGCAGCTAAATAGATTTGAATGTAGTTTTAATTTTGTCCTTTAGCTTTAGCAGTTTGGTTTATTTTGAAGGCTACTATGCATTACTTGAACTTCTGAAAGTCATTTAGACTTCAGAACCAACAGCAATTACCCCACAGGGAAATAGCCCTATCTCATGGGACACCATTTGGGCTGGTTTTTAGGGTACAGAGAACCACCATATTGGGTTTCCTATTAATTTTTAAAGTGTTAGACACAGGTAAACCTGTTTTTTTTTTGTTGGGTAGGTGGTTGAAAGATAGTAGGTTGGTAGGATGGGAAATAGATCATTATAGTTGATTTATTGCTCTTTTGGTCTCCTGTCCTGCTAGGTGACAAGCCAGGACAAGGCTCCAAGTGTCATCAGTCGTGTTCTCAAGAAAAACAATCGTGATTCTGCAGTGGCTTCAGAGTTTGAGCTGGTACAGCTGCTACCAGGGGAGCGAGGTCAGAGGCCAGGAGGGAAAAGAGACTTATGGGGGGACTGGTGCCCATCAGTAGAATGCTTCAACAACTGGGTGGTTGTTGGAGGGGATGACTATTTATGTTGACACCCACCTCTGATCTACAGAGCTGACCATTCCACCCTCAGCTAATGTCTTCTATGCTATGGATGGAGCATCTCATGATTTCCTCCTACGACAGCGGCGAAAGCCCTCCACTGCCACACCGGGTTCTGCCAGTGGCCCCTCTGCCTCAGGAACTCCCCCAAGTGAGGGAGGAGGGGGCTCTTTTCCCAGGATCAAGGCCACAGGGAGGAAGATTGCACGGGCACTATTCTGAGGAAGAAGCCCTGTTGGCTTACAGAGGTCATGGTGTTCAAACCAGATGTGGGTAGCCATCCTGAATGGTGTCAGTTACATCACACTGGGACAAATTCTGAAAGGTGGCCAGCCACCCTGGGGCAGTGAAGTGCCACTCATTTATCAGGCAGCAGAGAAATTCAGCCCTGTGGGAGCTGGTAATTTTGTAACCAAGTCAGATACCTGTATACAGCTCCTCACCTCTCAAGAATTCAGCACACAGAAAAGGGCACCAGTTTCTGATTCCTGTCACATCCTCGCATGTGAAAGGTCAAGGAAAGGCCTACAGGCTCTGAGCCCCAGGGCAGAGGGGAAGGCAAGAAGTAGGTTCTAGTGGGAATTCCTTTTCCCACTCTGGGGCTTCCTGTCACTGTGACAACACTAAGATAATAAACCAAAACACTACCTGAATTTTACTCCCCCGTCCTTGCGGTGCATATGAACTGGCTACTGGTAGTGGGGATGGGAAATTTGTGAAGATGGAACAAGAAAGTACACAATGTTTTCTCCCATGAAAAGCTGCAAGTAAGGTATTGGTGGAAATGGTTTCCTTAGAATGGTTTATTTCCCTTCAGGAACTTCTCCACCCCTTATTCCTTTATTTACTCTTAAAATTCTTCTCTTCACTGGTCAGGCCTTGTCAAGAGGTAGACGCCAAATTAAAGTGATCTGTATAAAGGGGTTGAGGTCATATGTCAGTGGTAGAGTGCTTGCCTGGCATGTGCAAGGCCCTGGGTTCAATCCCCAGTACCACAAAAACAAAACAAAGTGATCAGTATGGAGAACTACTGGGGGCAAATCTGTAAGAAACAATTTTAGGACAAAGAAATTAAAGAACAATAGTTTGTAGATAACACAAACTTGCAGGAGATTTAAATAAATTTAAGCTACATTCAGACAAACTTTAAGAGGCTAAAGAGAACTAAAAGAGATACCAGGGCCATTTGGAGGCTGACAAGTATTAATAGCAAGGAGGCTAAACACATTTTTGTCCTGGGGTCTCAGGTCAGAAAAATGTGAGCTTCTTCAATTAAACTGATACTCCCCAAAATATGCTATATTATGTATATCCTTCTCAGGCTTCTTAAAGGGTCAAGCTAGCCAAAATAAAGGAAAGTAAATGGTTGTATACACAGGCAAGCAGGTTTGAAACATTTCAGAGTAGTTTCAAGAAAAGAAAGTTCACTCTGTCAGAGATTCCAGTATCAAGAATCTGGACCTAAGGGAGTAAGGCAGAAGGTGTATGTATAAGGTGAAAGGGCTGGGGAATGATTGGAGACAATTATGACAGAAAGGGGTGGTCAAAAACAGAGTCAAGTATTTTTACATTTTATTAGCTACAATACTATAGACCCTAGAGCTGCCTCATTCCCTCCCGTCCCCTTCCCCCGAGCCATGGGGTCAGGCCTTTCCAGGAGCCCCTGCCTTTGCTGCCTGAGCCCGTTGAAACTCCTGTTGTAGCTGAGCAAGGGTCTCCCTCTGTTGCTCAGACTGTCGCTCAAGGTCTCGGAGCTGGGATTCGTATCGCTTACTGATGAAATGCAAGGGAAACAAGGAGAAAAGGAAAAATTAGTGGGACTTACCATTTTGAGAGGGTACTGAAGGAAGAAAGAAATTGTTGGAAAAGTTGAGATTTAAGGGACAGAGGAGAAGGGGGCCAAAGAGGAAGGAGCTGGGAGAACTGTATAACTGAGGAATACGATGGAGAGTCACTCTACACATGTCCCTCAACATTTATACTCCAGCAATGTCAGTTGTGGCACAGGGTGGTAGAACAAAGACTTACATTTCAGCTGTTATATAGTCCAGTCTCTTCCCCACTGTGGCCCGAGCTTCCCCCAGCTCCTGTTTGACCAGCACAGGACCCAGAAGTTTAAAGACCACGTTGGACCCATCCAGCAGGGCCAGTTCCTAATGAAGGGGTGGAAAATATATCATCAGAACCACTGCCAATACAAGTCTCTTCTTAGCCCGTAAATCCCAGTCCCTCACCTCTTTTACGATATTATTTTCTGTTAGTTGTGCCTCAAGCTTCTGCCTCCCTGACATGGATTTACTCAAATCTGGGGGGTGGGAGGGAGGAAAGACACGATTAGAGACATCAAACATGCTACTGACTACCACAACCCTTTCAGAAGAAAATGGATGTAATAAGTAGACAAGGATGGGGTCAATGGTAGGGCAGAAAATTAAGGCGGGGAAGCGCCTGCACGCCGTAGCCCGAATGGAGCGGTAAATCTTTTTTGGTATGGCTGGGTTGTGTGTGCATTGGGGCGAGGCCACACTGAACCTGCTCCCTTACCCTTTTGTAGCTGTTGATATTTCTCCACTTCTCCCTGCAGCTTCTTTTGGATCAACTCAGCCATGGCGGGGACGAAAGCCTGCTGGGAGCTGGTTGGGGGGGCTGGGTCTCAAGCCCTGTAAGAAGCCCGACCTCCCTTTTCTGGCCGGGCCTGCGAAAATGACAGCTCTTGAAAGGCAGCCTCTCCTTTTCCGGGTTATCGACGGTATCCTCGTCCCAGGAGATGGAGGGTGAAACGAGACCCCAACCCCTCGATCGAAACCCTGACCTACTCAAGTTCTCCCTTCTGTATTAATAAACCCGGAAATAAACAAGGAATTCTGGGAAAAGTATGGCGCCGGAAGCTACCATTTAATACATGCCGGGAAATGTAGTATCTAGTTCTGTCTTGTTTAATGAGCGGTCTTCTGCTAAAATGACTGTTCTCGGGAGTTTTAGAAAAGTTGAGGAACCGAACACAGAAAAGGAAATGCATTGTTACTTTGTCCTTGGCCTTCCACTTGCATTTGTTTCATTACTCGGGTATGCTGCCCTTAGGAAGAACCTGCTCCGCCCCTCAAAGGAGAGCGTGCCCTCACTCAAGATGGCGCCAAGAGGCTTCAGATGTGACCGGCGCTGATTGGATGAAGAGAAAAGGACTTCCGGAAGTCTCAAGCTGACTGTGGGACTGCCGAGAGTTTTGCACGTGGATTGTTGTTCGGGTGGGCGAGATGGAGACAGCCCCCAGGCCAGGCAGGGACGTCCCACTCAAGAAGGACAAACTTCAGGCCAAGAGGAAGGTAGAGACCTCCCTGAGTGGGAAAATAAGTTATTTGCTGCGGGGTCGGGAGTCAGGGCTTGGGCTGAGGAATATCAGGCCTTCTGATCTGCCCGTAGAAAACGCGGCGATACTGGGAGGAAGAGACTGCTCACACCGCTGCGGGGGCCTCTCCGGGGCCCCCTCGTAAAAAGAAGAGAAATGGGGAGCACCGCCACCAGAAGCCAAAGAACACTCCCATCTCCAAGAAGTCTCGGACCTCCAAGAAGCCTCAGGTTCCAAAGAAGCCCCCAAAGCGAAAGAAGCCGGAGCCCCAGCGGAGCTTGTCCGGGGTGAGCCTAGGACCTGATAGGGTGGCAGGACAGGTTATTTATGCTTTGAGAGTGAGAGGTATGGGGTCAAACAGAGCCTGTACGCTTATTGCCTCATTCCCATCCCAGGCCCAGGACCCATTTCCAGGCCCCGCCCCCGTCCCGGTGGAAGTAGCCCGGAAGTTCTGTCGTATTGACAAATCCAAAAAGGTGAGGACAGTAGACAGTGGGGAAGGATTGAGACTGGGAGTGTCTCTGTGAGTTGGGTGGAGGCTGGCTGGACTGGGTCTCCCGTGAACCTGTATATTCTTTGGTTCTTTACCTGTTCCTTCCCATCAACGTTATAGTTAACACGTTTGAAGTCCAAAACTCGAAGCAAACTTGAGGTGGCTGAAGCAGAGGAAGAAGAGACAAGTGTCAAAGCTGCTCGTTCTCAGCTGCTGCTTGCTGAGGAACCTGGGTGAGTGGACCCCAACCTGAGCTTCCCCAGCAACTGCTTTACAGAACTCTCCTTTGACTGTGTGTGTGTGTGTGTGTGTGTGTGTGTTTTGTACTGGGGATTGAATCCTTTGAAGCTCTACAACTGAGCTATGTCCCCAATCCTTTTTATTTTATTTCATTTTATTTTATTTTTTGAGACAGGATCTCCCTAAGTTGCTTAGGGCCTTGCTAAGTTGCTGAAGTTGGCTGTGAACTTTAGATTCTTCTGCTTCAGCCTGTCCACTTGCTGGGAGTATAGGCATGCATCACCACAATGGGCTTCATTCCTCATTTTTATGTTGTTATACCCATCTAATATTAGGAAGCTTTGCTGCAGTTGTAATCATTACTTTCAGGTTTCTGGAAGGGGAGGATGGGGAAGACACAGCAAAGATACGCCAGGCTGATATTGTGGAGGCTGTGGATATTGCAAGTGCAGCCAAGGTGAGCTTGTGGAGGGAAAGGGGCCAGTGGGTTGATTGATGGTGCAGGAAAAGAGAGGAATGGTGACTTGGCAGAGGAAATTACCCAGGGGAGCTGATTTTTTTTTTCTTGATTTTCTTGTGTGTGTATGGTGCTTGGGATTAAACCCGGGGCCTTGCATATGCTGAACAAGCACTTGATCACTGAGCTACAACCCCAGACTCTGGTTATATTTTTTCTACTCTTTTCCTTTTTCAGCACTTTGACTTGAATCTGCGACAGTTTGGACCCTATAGACTTAACTACTCTCGAACTGGGAGGTGAGACTGAATTCCAGTCACTGGTGTTTGTGCGTGTGTGTTTGTTTCTGGGGATTGAACCCAGGGCCTCATACATGTCTAGCCCATGCTGTGCCACTGAACCATACTCTATACTCTTAGGCTCTAGTGACTCTTTTTTTTTTGAGTACCAAGGATTTGAACTCAGGGACACTCAACCACTGAGCCGCATCCCCAGCCCTATTTTGTATTTTATTTAGAGACAGGGTCTCACTGAGTTTCTTAGCGCCTCGCCGTTTCTAGGGCTGGCTTTGAATTTGGGATCCTCTTGCCTCAGCTTCCTGAGCCGCTGGGATTACAGTTGTGTGCCACTGTGCCTGGCCTCCAGTGACTCTTGAATTAAGATGTGGATGTGTTTACTTAGCTATACCACCTGTGCCCTCTTCAGCTATATATGTATGAATGGGTTATTCATGAGGAGTGTGCACATTTGTCATAACATATTTCTTCTCACTTGAAAAGGAGGAGCTTGTGTGAGGCACATCTTAAATTATCTGAGTCAGGGTGTTTTCCTACATTAATGCCTTACCTTTCCTTCATCTCTAACAGACACATGGCTTTTGGAGGACGTCGGGGTCATGTGGCTACCCTTGATTGGGTGACAAAGAAACTCATGTGTGAGATCAATGTCATGGAGGCAGTGCAAGATATCCGGTTAGTGTCCTTGCTGTTGGTGGTCAGTGGGGGTGAGACAACCCATTTCTGATTGAATAATAGCCCCTGATCCCATTCCTCATTGACTACTCCTCTGTCCCCTCAGGTTTCTTCATTCTGAAACATTGCTTGCTGTTGCTCAAAATCGCTGGCTCCACATCTATGACAACCAGGGCATTGAGCTCCACTGCATTCGCCGCTGTGACCGAGTAACCCGGCTTGAGTTCCTGCCCTTCCATTTCCTTCTGGCTACAGCTGTGAGTGGCTGCAGAGCATAGGGACCAACCGGGTGGCAGCCCTTGGGAAGATCATTCTCTAAGGGAGACATGGGCAGTCAAAACTCACTCATTCATTCTTTTTCTCTCTCAGTCAGAGACAGGGTTTCTGACCTACCTGGACGTGTCAGTAGGGAAGATTGTGGCAGCTCTGAATGCTCGGGCTGGACGACTCAGTGTCATGGCTCAGAACCCTTACAATGCTGTCATCCATCTTGGACATGGCAATGGTCAGTTCTGACTTAACTTGGTTTTTCAGACAGGGTATCACTGTGTTGCCTGGGCTGTTCTCCAACTCCTGGGCTCAAGTCATTCTCCTGCCTCTGCTTCCTGAATAGCTGGGACTATAGGTGCATGCCACTGCACCCAGCTCTTGGCTTAACTTTGATTTTCTGACCATCCTGACCTGCTTTTTAAAAAAATACTTTAATGAGTTCTTTAAAGTTATCCTTTTTATTTTTCTCTCTTGTCTTTGAGTCCCCATTTTCCCCAGGTTTAATAACTTCAGGGTTAGGTTTGTATTAATAATTCTAGGTCTTTTCTTACTTCTAGGTACTGTGTCTTTATGGAGTCCAGCTGTAAAGGAGCCACTGGCAAAGATTCTCTGTCATCGTGGTGGGGTCCGGGCTGTAGCTGTGGATTCTACAGGCACGTAAGTCACTTATTTAGGGATGAGGTGTTAGGGATTGTGTCAGTCAGTTTTTCATTTCTATGACCAAAATATCTGAAGAGAACAACTTAGAGAAGGGAAAGTTTTATTTTGGCTTATGGTTTAAGAGGTCTCAGTCCATGGTTGGCCAATTCCATCACTCTGGACCTGAGGTGATGTGATGTAGGACATCATGGCAGAAGGATGTTGTGGAAGAAAACTGTTCACCTCCTGGCAGATGGGAAACAGAGAGAAGCGAGAGCCAGGGAAAAAATAGAACCCCAAAGGCACGCAGTGACTTACTCCCTCTAGCCACAACCTACTACCTATAGTTAACAACCAGTTAGTCCATTCAAATTAGGATGACTGATCAGGTCACATTTCTCACAATCTAATTATTTTGTAGCACAGAGCATAGAATTGAGTTCTTTGGTGAATTCAAAGAATGAAATCCACCCACAAGGATGAGAGCAAAGTAATAGCATTTATTAGAATAACAGAAAGCAGAGTTCCCAAAGGGATGGGGTCCTGAGAGAGATACCAAAGAGTGGTTATTGTCTAGGGGTTTACATAGCTCTACAGGGTTCAAAGAGCTAGTCCCCTACCCACTCCTGGGTAAGGCACTGTGTCCGTGAACTCTTCACATGCCCTTTGGTCCAGTCAAGTTACGATGTCTCTTTTTTGATGGGGTGCAGATACCAGACAGCAGATGTCCCACTATCAGTTTTTTCTGCCTAAACAGGAATCAGCCTGACCTTGATGAGGCCTGACTTGTGTCTGTATTTTCTCTCCCTCCTTGAAGGAGCCCAAGTTTCATGCCTATTCATTTTAACCCTTTCTTCTGCCTTAATTTCACCTCTGAACATTCAATGCAGGAATTGAGCTTACTGGAGGACACCTCACATTCTAAACTATAACAGAAGTCACAGCTGGGCAGAAGGGTATGGAAGGCATTATGCCTTTAGTTTCACAGACTCAGGCTGCCTGGCTAGACATCCTGGATTTGCTACTGACCAGACATGTAAATGTGAGCACACAACAGTACTTCTGTGTGCCACAGTTTACTGATCCTAAGAGTGGGAATGTGAGTGTGGCCCAGGGTCAATAAACTTTTCCTTTAATAAGCTAGGTAGTAAATATTTTAGGTTTTGCTTCACTAAGAGCTAAAATAAAAGATATTGTTTAAATAATTAATGAGGAGAAAATAGTTATCACAAATTCCTAAGCAGTGAAATTTAAAAATACAATAATTAAATATGTTTTTTTTTTTTTTTGTGGTGCAGGGCCTCATGAATGCTAGCAAATACTCTTCCATTGAGCTACATCCCCAGCTCTGAATATGGTATTCTTGTATTACAAGTCTATTATATGGGAAGAATTGAGGATAATATTTGCTTATTTTGAGGATAATATTTGCTTAAT